CCAAGGGTTTTTTGTATCTTTCAGTAGTGCGAGGTGAGTCTTCTCACTATATCCATGGGTCGAAGGCACCAACGTCGGCCCGTTATGTGTTATGTGGTATGCTAGTTGTCTCTGTGATACTTACATGGAAGACCCCGGGGGGAGCCCGTGGCAATTGGATGCCAGACCATGAGGGGAAAGCCCATGGCATTCCAGGTAAAGACCATGGAGGAGCCCATGGCACGATAGATAAAGACCATGGGGGGGAGCCCATGACACCTATATGTATGTACGTGATAATCTGTGATTGTATGCGGTATGGTATTTCGGGGAACTTACTAAGCTTTATGCTTATGGTTTTCAGTTTATGTTTTAGGTACTCCAATTTTCAAATGGAAGAGCTCGGGATGATTGCAGAGCACACACCACATGGTTCCGCATTCTGTGAATTACTCTGGTTTAAATATGTTTTGCTAAATATTGGTTACTCTGGTTTTATAGAAACAATTTGTATTAACGATTTATTAATTTAAAAACAAAAATTTTTATGTCGTGATTTTCGGGTCGTTACAAGTTGGTATCAGAGCCTTGGTTTGAGGGATTCAGACATACTCTCGGGTGTGTCTAAACTCAAACTGAGGATTGGTAAAGTATTCAAACGAAAAATATTTTCAAGAAAAGAGTTTTCTAAGAAAAGAGAAGGGTGTGGTGCATGTAATCAGCTGAGCTCAAGTAAGTTTTCCCAAAATACCCATACATGTTATTTGTTATGATTTGATTTATGAATCTGTGAATCGCATGCTAGTTAGGACTAAGGATCTGCTCAGTTCTTGCATGATAAAATGTTAGGAGAGATGTCTTTGTATGTATATTGTACGAGCTGGTAGACTTGCATGCTAGTGTTGAATAGTTAGTGGTAGTTTGACCTGATATGTAATACCTTGTTGTGTTGGGTAAATTGGATGATATGTTGGGATAAGAATATCTGTGGGAATCAGTAATTGCTAAGTGCATGCTTTAGAAATTGTACACGGTTAGGATCTTATAGCCCTAGAATAACTGATTTGGCCTTATTTCCTGTTCCTTGTCTGGTTATGGATCTAGGGTAGAGCCTGTTATTCGACACTCTATTTGATCCTATTCTGTGTATAATTTGCATGCATAAGGCAACCGACAGTAAGGGTGGAATTTCTAGCATAAGTGGTGGTGTGTGGGTTGAACGTTATATGATAGTTCTATGGATTGGAGTGTTACTGCACAAATGTTGCTTGCTTTGTGATTTGTTGAACTATTGGAGGATGGGAGTCAACTACTAAGTGAATATGATGGTATTCATGAGGTGGATGACTGGCATTATGGGGAGTTCCTCAGCAACTGATGGCAGGGTGAGGTCGGGAATCTAGGAGAGCCTAGGGAATTCTTCAGTAGGCTTTGTTGCGTTGTTTAGTGAGCTTTGGTGCATCGGTGGAGTTGGTGACTTAGAGGATTCAGGATGATTCCTGAGGAAAGTATGTATAGGTTAGGAAGGTAGGATTGGGCCTGGACTACTAAAAGCACAGGAACCATACTTGAATCAGGGAGAGTCTTGGAGAATCTAAGAACTTGGGGAAGAAGATTCTTGAGTATGTTTTGATCTTCTGCATGATCGTATTTCAGTTTGGTGATGAGTTTCCATTGATGAGATCTTATGAGTTCATATTGTTTCTGGAGCTTAGAGTTGCCACTCTTAGTGTTACTTTGGTCCTTGAGTCATAAAGTTGCCATCTTTGGGGTCTAAATCCATCCATGCATGAGTTAGAACCATTTCCATGATAGTAGACTGTTATATTTTGAGTTTGGGTTCATTTGGGTCATGCAAAGTCACCAAGTCAGTGACTTTATGGGTATAGACGTTATTTGGGACTCAGATTTGTGGTTTGGACTTATGGGCTAAGCATTAAGTGCTTAATGGCAAAAGTGGAATTAAGAGGGGAGTACGTTGGGCGTACAATCCAGTACGCGCAGCGTACAAGCCATTAAGCGAGTACGCGCAATGTACTGCTGAGTACGCCCTGCGTACTCGGTCAGATTGGACTTCGCAATTATGGGCCTCGGGTTGGGTCATTTCTTGGACTTAGTTGCTGGAGACCTTTGTGGACCATCTGGAAAACATGTTTTTGGACCAAGGAAATTATTGGGATTTAGGATAAGGCCCATTGGAGAGGGTTGGGCCCAATTTGGAAAATTGGGCCATAAGTGGGCAATAATTGGGCTTTGGATGATTATGGGCTAATGGGCCATCAGAATGCCAAGTGTTTTGGACTAGAAAGGTTGTTTGACCTTAAGGTAAGGCCCATGTAGAGACTTGGGCCCAATTTGGAAAATTGGGCCATTGATTGATTGGTTGGCCTTTGGGCCTTTCAGATTGTAGTTTGGGCCATAGTTTTGGTCAAGGCTAGGTTAGGGGTAAAATGGTCTTTTTACCCCAGGTTTGAAGTTATGATTATGGATTAGAACTCAATTGTTAATTGGGTATTGTTTTGTTATTGGTAGTTAAGGATTTGTCAGCCAGCAGCCAATGGTTTTTTGTATGTTTTAACAGTGCGAGGTGAGTCTTCTTACTATATCCATGGGTCGAAGGCACCAATGTCGGCCCATTATGTGTTATGTGGTATGTTAGTTGTCTCTGTGATACTCTCATGGAAGACCCCGGGGGAGCCCGTGGCAATTGGATGTCAGACCATGAGGGGAAAGCCCATGGCATTCCAGGTAAAGACCATGGGGGAGCCCATGACACGATAGATAAATACCATGGGGGGAGCCCATGCCACCTATATGTTTGACATTTTATGTTTTTCAGATTTTTTTTTTTTTGTATTATGTGAATGTTTTAAAACGTGCATATCTAATTCATTTGAAGTCGGAATAGCATGCGGTTTTTTCCAAAGTGTAGTCTAGAGTTTGTACATGATTTTAGACTATAATTTTGTCATTTTTCGTTTCATATTCATTGACTTACTGTTCCCAAAGTCGGGATATCAAAGTTATGAATTTTTTGTTTTTCAACTTTATTTTTATCTTTTGTGAAATTTTAAAAATGCATATTTAACTGGTTTGAAGTCGAATTATCTTGAGGTTTTTTGCAACGTGTAGTTTAGAGTTTGTATATGATTTTAAACTATAATTGTCATTTTTGGTTTGTATATGACTTACCAAAAAATTCTGGATTTCCCGGGTTTTTTCGGTTCTAGACCCACTTTACTCGGTTCCACCTGATTGCAGAGCACACACCACATGATAAACAATAAATACATTAATACATTAATACATTAATGTAAGATGTATATGTACTATTTTGTTGATTAAGCCTCTTGGTCGATGTAACAAACACCAACGCACATAAACAATAAAATATTTAATTAAAAGTAGTTTACATTTGTGAATAGAAAAATAAAGTGTATTTTGTTTCTTTAAATCAACTTTTCTTTTGTGGTCTCAAAGAGTTTGGACTTTGGACTATTTAAACTATTGGATTATTTTAAATATTTTGGGCTATTTTATATTTGGATTTATAATTAGGAATAACCTTTTTTTTTGGGCAACTCAAATTTTTTCGAGGAGTAGCTTCGCAACATAAAATAAAAAAAGTTGAAAATTTGTACACTACTTGACAAATTTAAGGGGTAGCACAGACTCCTTCAAAGGTTCGCCTATGATATATGATTCGTGAGATATCCATGTTTGATTACTAATATATTGTTTTATATGATTCGTGAGATATACATGTTTGATTACTAATATATTGTTTTATACCCTTATTTCTAAAAGACAAATGATTAAATGACTAAATTTAAAACCAAACCACACTCGTTAATAATCATACTAAAACAAGAAGTCTATAAATGGCACATGTTTACCCTTGAATTTATGAAAATATATTACCTTAGATATAAACACATAATGAAAAATTATCTGAAGACCATACAACACTAATTGCAATGGGGCGAAGACCAAAGACCCTTATACCAATAACGATTAGAGCCTAAAACTGATCATTCATGGTTTGTAGCCAGAATGAAACAACTCATAAAAAATGTATAGTTAATCCAATAAACATTTTTATTTTATTTTATCAAGCATCAAAAAATGTTTATTAACAATAACAAACTGTGATAATCAAGATAATTAGATAAGCACCTTAAATAAAAGTAATTTCAAACACTCCCTTAATAAACTTAACTTTTAGGTGCTAAAAGGAGAAACCAAAATCATACAAAAACCGTTCAATAAGGACAATTTATATCAAAAGATCATCTTTAAAACAAAAACCAAGATAATAATAAACGATATGGACTATTTTTACAGTTTACTTTAAAAATAATTGTAAGCTTTCACATTATCACATATACTTGAATTGTATTTTTTTTTTTGAGTTATCCTTGAACTAATTCTTGGATTCGAGGGGTGTCAACTGTCAACTCTCAAGGTAAAGATATGTATTTTTGGCAAACAGTTAGATTTGTTAAGCATTTATAGCATGATTTTGTAAAGGTTTATTAGTTGAGGATCGTTTTTGTCTAGTTAAATCTTGTATCTCACTATGTTTACACACTTAGCATATTGTTCATGCGGCATTGTAGATGAAAGGTCTAAAGGTAAAGGTAAAGGTGAAGCTTAAGCAAGAAAGAGTATTGTTAAATGTATAGCCAAGTAATACAGTTTGATTTTTTTTTTTTTTTTTTATCCAATGCAATTGTCATCGGATCTTAACAGGAAGGATATGGATTTGATGCAGCACCCATCAGTCTCCCTTGCTATTAATTCCCAGAAATTAGAAGGATAACTTAACATGTTTCCGACGGGAGGTTGAAAGAAAGATAAGGCGAATGTGAAACAGGATTTGCCACCCCAACATAATTTCGCAATTTACCGAAATAGTTTCCCAAGGATTGAGATGCAATTTGCTCCACTGAAACCCAATCCAGTCTATCCACTGCCTGCCACATGTTTGACAATTTGCCCAAGTGAATGAAGATCAACATATGCCTCTGGTTTCAATTTTAGTCGCAGATAACAAACGATTGGCTTTGATTGCGCGCAATTTAAACTACAGACACGAAACAACATCATCTCCACGTGTTCCAATGCCATCATTTTCCTCACTCCAATCTGTCGTAATCTAAGCACTCACCCACCACCTCAGATCTGGGATCTTTTGTATTTACCTTTTCGTCACTGAACTATACACACACAGTCGTATCTCGCCCTTCAATTTGAACGTATGTTTAATCTTGTTCTTGTTCATAATCCTATTCTAACATAATAATGATCTTTTACGTATTATTGCTCAACCAACTGATATTAGTTCATTTCCTGGTAATAAAAGTTAAACCTTTAATCAAAATTGAGATTAGCGAATCCAGTTTATGGTTTTCATAAACAAAAATGGGTTGCAAAATGGAATCAATGAACGAAAAATGAAAATGGGTGTATAGTTTTGGGACCAAAAACATAACTTTTTACCCTTTCTTGATGACATGTGACTAGGCGAGCATGTGAGGCCAGTGTATTCCAGTGAACCCCTTTATCACCACCACCCCGACTCCCCCCACCATGAATCAACAAGAAAAGAAACCAAGAAGAACAGAGCATTGAAGCTCTTTCTTTCTTTCTTTTTTTTCTTTCATCGACTTGAATATTCTTGATTACAGCTTGAATCATTCAAGTTCGATAGTATCCATCACACACAATGGAGCGTGCACGCAGGCTAGCAAACAAAGCCATCCTCGGGCGCCTGGTTTCACAAACCAAACAAAACCCATCATCCCCTGCGCTCTATTCTCCTTCAAGGTATGTCTCCTCTTTGACTCCATACGTATGTAGTGGTAGTGGCAGAAACGTTAGATCAGAACGAACCATTAATGGGTTCGGTTCGCATACGCAATCGCAAGTTCGATCTATATCAGTAGATGCATTAAAACCAAGTGACACCTTCCCACGCCGCCATAACTCCGCCACCCCAGATGAACAAACCAAAATGGCCGAATTTGTCGGTTTTCCAAATCTCGATTCCCTCATTGACGCCACTGTACCCAAATCAATCCGTCTTGAATCAATGAAGTTCCCTAAGTTCGATGAAGGCTTAACCGAATCCCAAATGATCGCACACATGCAAGATTTAGCTTCCAAGAATAAGATCTACAAGTCCTTCATCGGTATGGGATACTACAACACATCTGTTCCTCCAGTCATTCTAAGAAACATCATGGAAAACCCTGGTTGGTATACACAGTACACTCCATATCAGGCGGAAATTGCACAGGGACGTTTAGAATCCCTGCTCAATTTCCAGACCATGATCACCGATCTCACTGGTTTACCCATGTCAAACGCTTCCCTACTCGATGAAGGAACTGCAGCTGCTGAAGCTATGGCGATGTGTAACAACATCCAAAAGGGTAAAAAGAAAACCTTTATTATCGCAAGTAACTGCCACCCACAAACAATCGATATCTGTAAAACTAGAGCAGATGGGTTTGATCTAAAAGTCGTCACTTCTGATCTCAAGGATTTCGATTACTCATCTGGTGATGTGTGTGGAGTTCTTGTTCAGTATCCAGGGACCGAAGGTGAGTTGTTGGACTATGGTGAGTTCATCAAGAACGCACATGCAAACGGTGTGAAAGTTGTCATGGCTACTGATTTGTTAGCTTTGACTGTGTTAAAACCTCCTGGTGAGTTTGGAGCCGACATTGTTGTGGGTTCTGCTCAAAGATTTGGTGTCCCAATGGGTTATGGAGGTCCACACGCAGCCTTTTTAGCAACTTCCCAGGAATATAAAAGAATGATGCCCGGAAGAATTATCGGTGTCAGTGTGGATTCTTCCGGAAGCCGGCTTTACGTATGGCCATGCAGACAAGAGAACAGCATATTAGAAGAGACAAAGCAACCAGCAACATTTGCACAGCTCAGGTATAAATTAAATCCTTCAAGTATTCTTGTTTTTAGAGTTGTAGAAAATGTAATTATGAGATTCATTGTTAAAATATATTATATATAGGCATTGCTTGCAAATATGGCTGCTATGTTTGGTATCTACCATGGACCAGAAGGGTTAAAGACCATTGCACAAAGAGTTCATGGTCTTGCTGCAACTTTTGCTGCTGGGTTGAAGAAGCTTGGAACAGTTCAAGTTCAAGAACTTCCCTTTTTTGACACTGTGAAGATAACATGTGCTGATTCGAGTGTAATAGCTGAAGAAGCTGATAAACATCAGATGAATCTTCGTATTGTGGACAAAAACACTGTAAGTATGTTTTTTATGTTGCCAAAAGTACTATGTCTATGTTCTTAAGCTTATTATCAAATATGCTCCTGCTTCTCTCAGATCACTGTCTCTTTTGATGAGACAACAACGATTGAAGATGTTGATAATCTGTTCAAAGTTTTCGCCTTGGGAAAACCCGTGAGTTTGTCCTTTCTTTTGATATAACAAATCTTTATATAAATCAAGAAACTTGATTCTTGATTCTTGATTCTTGATTCTAGGTGACATTCAGTGCCACGTCACTTGCACCAGAGGTTGAGGATGTTATCCCTTCCGGACTTGTCAGGGAGACTCCATATTTGACTCATTCGATTTTCAACATGTATGAATCTTTTTCAAAGCTTAGATTACATAGTTTAAAGTCACTTTTTATTAATATTTTTATTTCTTTTTTGATTTTAGTTACCATACGGAGCATGAGCTACTAAGATACATTAGTAAGCTGCAGTCAAAGGATCTGTCATTATGCCACAGTATGATTCCCCTGGGATCTTGCACCATGAAGCTTAATGCAACTACAGAGATGATGCCTGTGACATGGCCAGCCTTTGCAGATATGCATCCTTTTGCTCCTACCCAACAGGCACAGGGGTATCAGGTAATCATACCTTTCTAATTTTGACTTAAAATTCCAAATTATATTTCTCTTGACTTTTTTTTTTAACCTAACATAAAATATCTTGCAGGAAATGTTCAAGAATTTGGGTGACATGTTGTGTACCATAACCGGATTTGACTCTTTCTCTTTGCAACCAAATGCTGGAGCTGCTGGAGAATATGCTGGGCTGATGGTTATCCCGGGCTTATCATATGGTATGCCTTATTATACCCTTTTATATAATCATATAAAAAGTCAAAGTCATTGACTTTGGTCAACTATAGGCGAGAGGAGATCATCATCGCAATGTGTGTATCATCCCTGTGTCTGCACATGGAACAAATCCTGCAAGTGCTGCTATGTGTGGAATGAAAATCATTACTGTGGGAACTGACTCCAAAGGTAATATCAATATTGAAGAGGTACGCAAGGCTGCTGAGGCAAACAAGGAGTATCTATCTGCTCTTATGGTAACCAATTTTTTTTCTTTTTATCAAAACATAAAAATAGATAATAAAAAGAAAAAGATTAATAACTAAAGTAAATTCTCTTTTTTTAGGTTACCTATCCTTCTACTCATGGAGTTTATGAGGAGGGTATTGATGAGATTTGCAAGATTATTCATGACAATGGAGGTCAAGTCTACATGGATGGAGCTAATATGAATGCACAGGTACATAAACATTACACTTCTTGTGTCGTTTTAATTTAATTAAAACATCATACAAACAAATGAAAATATATAAAAAAAAATCTTTGGCTTTGATTTTTTACAGGTTGGTTTAACAAGTCCAGGGTGGATTGGGGCCGATGTTTGTCATCTAAACCTTCACAAGACATTTTGCATTCCACATGGTGGTGGTGGGCCCGGAATGGGCCCCATTGGTGTGAAGAAACACTTGGCACCCTACTTGCCTTCACACCCTGTGGTAAGACTAAGCAATAATTTTTTTAGTTTGATGTTTATGTGTAATTAGAGAGTAATAGTATGTTGTTGAGTTAATAATTTAATTTGTAAATCTTGATTTAAAGGTTGCAACTGGAGGCATACCAGCCCCTGAGCACAGTAAGCCACTTGGCACGATTTCAGCAGCACCTTGGGGTTCAGCACTTATCTTGCCTATATCATATACATACATTGCCATGATGGGATCTCAAGGACTTACAGATGCATCCAAGATCGCTATCTTGAATGCAAACTATATGGCAAAACGTCTTGAGGTCTTAATTTCTTTCTTTTCCTTATTCATTAAGCATAAATATATAATATAATTATCGAGGAGGTCTCAATTTTATTTTATTTTTCCTTTGGGAATAATTACATTGCAGAGTCACTATCCCATTCTTTTCCGTGGTGTGAATGGAACAGTTGCCCATGAATTCATCGTTGATTTGAGACCCTTGAAGGTAAGTTATAATATTATTTATTTAGTCATATTTTTTGTTAAGTCAAAAAGAAATAGCAACTAACTCGAGTCATATTCATATTCATATTCATATTCAGACAAGTGCTGGAATAGAGCCAGAAGATGTTGCAAAACGTCTGATTGATTACGGGTTTCATGGCCCAACAATGTCATGGCCAGTTCCAGGAACACTCATGATTGAACCCACTGAAAGTGAAAGCAAGGTATGCTTTTTTCTTTTCTTTTAAGAGTAAAGTTTCTTTTAAAATTATATCCTCCCATTTTATATAACATAACATATGGAATTTTTGAGTTGTAGGCTGAGTTTGGACAGGTTTTGTGATGCTTTGATCTCCATTAGACAAGAAATAGCAGAAATTGAGAAAGGAACAGTGGACATCAACAACAATGTCATCAAGGTAATTATAACAATAACTAAGTTTGGCTGTTTTTGTATTATTTGTTCAAGAGTTATATTAGGGATAATGAGGGAAATTAAAAATTTGTAGGGAGCACCTCATCCACCACAACTACTCATGGCTGATAAGTGGACAAAACCATACTCCAGAGAATATGCAGCATACCCTGCTCCATGGCTTCGTGCTGCTAAGTTCTGGCCTACTACATGTTCGTCTCTCTCTCATGGATAAATTTTTTATCTGGATAATTAAAAAGTTTTTTTTTTGAATCTTGAATTGTTGATTGATGTGGTTAAAGATTGATTAACTATGGTTGGGTTAATTATGTGTGACAGGCCGTGTGGACAATGTGTATGGTGATCGGAACCTGATCTGCACCCTTCAGCCACCACAGGAGTATGAAGAGAAAGCTGAAGCTACTGCTTAAGAAATAAGAAGATATACACGTGAATGATGTGAGATGTGGTTTTAAGGTTCTTTTTCAGCTTTATACATAAATCTGTTCTTGTATATACCTGTTTCGTATTTGTAAGCCTTATATGGCTGCTGGCTTTTATGGTATTATTCATGTAAAATCATGGTGACCAGCTGCTCTTAATTATAGCAATTCCTTGTCATGATGATGTATAGATTTCACTTTTTGTGAAAGATACCATCTTAACAAATTTAAACAATTTTAGTTACTTTGAACACCACTTTATCATAAAATGAGTTGAAGGGCCATTTAAACCAATTCGAGAAAGTTTATTGCCCAACAATGACATTATCCTTTCTTTCTAAGGACTGGATTCTAATTAAATGCAAAGATAGCAAGCTAGTTTTGAAAGTTTAAGCCTTTTTTCAATAATGTTTAACCTTCAATGATAAATTTAAATTTTGGATGAAAGTTGGTTGTCATTATTGATATATTAATATGATAACCATTGAATGTCAAAAGTGTCTTTTTGTCCTAGTGTGTAATTGCAATCAGAGTTTCACCTGTGGACAACTAAGTTTTATATTGTTTTACCACATTTAAGCCAACAATAGCCGACATGTTCACCTGAATACATTTATTTGCATGCCCAAACATTAAAATAATAATAATAAAATAATAGAAAACACATGGTGTACAATAAAGAAACCCGTACTTATTTATTTAAAGAGACTGAGACTCGCACTTCAAAATGTTACATTATTATTATTTTTTATTTTACAAGTTTGGTTTATGCATATTTAATTTTGTTTTAATATATAAACCTATGATAAAATCATTTCGAATTTGAGTTATAAAAAACAGGTTTGGAGCCATGAACTAAGTTTTGAGAATATATTGATCCATGAACGAAAACTAGGTCATAATTTAATTCTTTGGGTTTGTTGATCACCATATATAATAATAGATCAAATCAATAATAAAAAAATATGTTTTATAAATATAAAAAAAGTTTATTTATATGTTTTATGTCATTGTATCCAAAGTTAAAGGGATTGTAAGATGTTTGGGGTCGGGATAGGATAACTACATAACTCATAAAACTATATTTTTTTTTTCTATTTATTAAAATTAAATCAAACTTAACGTTGGCAACCCCATAAGGACTCGGCAGATTCAACCGTAACATTTATATGAATTATGTTTTATTTTTATTTTCGACATTAAATGTTAAGCAACTTTTGGCAAATACTATTTTGAATCTTGACAATGTTTGTATCATGATATCAAAAATTATGACTACGAGAGAAGTCAAGTTTTTATACTTCGAGGATCTTTAAAAAAAAATATACACACGAGCAACAACTCTTCTAATTAAAATTGAGGGTCTTAAGGTTTGTCTTCTATGAGGGATCAGGATTGAAGTGTAATTAGTTTAAAAGATGAGATTTGACTGTCTTATCAAAGGGTCTAAAGATAATGACAAGCAGAAGAGTTGATAATTGAGTTCCATTATTATGAGTATTAAATTGAAAAGACTCGTTGAAAATCTGAGATGGAAGACAAAGACTTTTGCCGACACAAACATACATGAAGGTTTTGAAGATGGTGGGCAATGGACTCTTAAATAAGAAGAAAAGCTATAACTTTTTTTTTAGAACTTTGGTTCCCTGATATATTGATACTTAGGCTATGAAAACTATATTATTTTTTGAGTTTTTTTTTAAGTTGTTATCTTTAGTTAAAAAAAAAAAAAAAAAAAACCCTTATAAATTGATATTTTAAAAAACTATTCAGTCTAACCTTTCAATTCATCGGGTTTATGAAGTCTCTTAAAAAAAATCTTTTTTGTATAAGTACTTTTGTAATTAGCCTATATTTTATGTTTTCATTAATAGTTAAATGTTGTTATAGGGCGTGTTCGGCAAAATTAGCTGGTAGCGGGTAACGGGTAGCTTGTAGCTTGTAACGTTTTGTTAAACACTACATGAAGTAGCATTTGGATTTGGAGCGTTTTGTTTAAACTAAACGCTAGAAGTTTGTAGTGCCGAACAAGACTTTATGTTCAAAACAGAGCGTTTTGTCAAACGCTAGAAGCTAGAAGCTCTCAAACGTTCCCAAACGCTCCGTGTCGGACACGTCCATAGACTATCATTTAATAATATTTTGACACTAAAAATTTACAAAAACAAATAAAACGAAATTAATATTAAATACGTCTCCACAAGTCAACGATTTTCAAAACCTCTACGACTTAAATACAAAAGACTTAAATTATTCTGTTTATTAGGCTGGACAGTGTCACACAATTCTTACCGGTGGTAAGCTGAGGTGGCGTGTTTTATCGGATGTGTACACCGCACAAAACCCATTTTTTCACCGCCAGTGCATTTCCACCGATGGAAAATAGGAGGCAAAAATGGCTCTCTCTCTCTCTCTCTCTCTCTCTCTCTCTCTCTCTCTCTCTCTCTCAACACCACACCTTATCCTTTTACATTTAATAACAAAAATGAAAATTAGTGAGATCGAGTGTGGTAGAGCTTGAGCTTAGATGGAATGTGGTGTCATCGGCACCACACCTTACAACATTTGAGAAAATTAACTTCCTCTTTGTTTTTCTTTAAAAGTTACAATAAATGTTTATTTTAAAATATTTATGAAATATTATTATTTTAATTTTTGACAACTATATTGACATTTTTAAATATGAAATAGATATATCTTTTTCATACGTATGAAAACAATATCATTTAAATATAAATAATAAAAAACTATTATTTTGTATTTATTTTATCTTAACCAATGAAACGTATAAATTATATGACTTATATGTTTTATAATATAGAACTATATTTAAAATGTCATTTTATATTTTTCAGTTATCAATTAGTTTATCATCTTTCAATTAATATTTATATTTTCAACTAGTCTATCAAATATTGTGTAGCATATATATATATATATATATATATATATATATATATATATATATATATATATATATATATATAGAGAGAGAGAGAGAGGTGTCAAAGCACCTATAAACATTGTTTTATTTAACTCTAAGTTTAGTATTTTAATATTTTTTTCATCTATCATGGGCTAATATTTCGTATTGTAGGATTTTATTCGGAATGGATGGTCAAAAGTGACGACTTTTATTTATTTATCTTACATTTTAACTCTAACTTTTATTTTTATGTCGGATTTTATTCCAAGCTTTTTGGTTTATTGTGCATAGATCTAGGTTTCTATCCTTTAATCTTCATGCGCTTGATTATTGGGTGGTGAGATCTCATAAAGTTTGCATAAAACACTTTTCCATAAATCATGAAATCCCAAATACAATTGTTTTAAAATTCATAACAATAATAATTTTATTTCAAATCATCAGAGTGTCCCATGAAAACGCCTGAGAGAGAGTGCACGCCGCGTCATCAAACTTTGCCCTTGCCCTTAGGGTTAGATGTACCTAAAACAAATCCACAAACTGTAAGCTAATGCTTATTGAGTTCCCCAGAGCATACCCCTCACACAATCCACAAAAACACATATCATATTAGCTATAAAAGCTACATATACCACATAAACCATGCATACAAACATATAAGGATGTCGTGGGCTCCTCCCAAGGTCTTACTCCAGGATGCCATGGGCTCCCCCACATGGTCTTACACCTACGTGTCATGGGCTCCCCCCATGGTCTTTAGCTGGAAAGCCATGGGCTCCCCCACATGGTCTTACATCCAAGTGTCATGGGCTCCACCCATGGTCTTTACTTGAAAAGCCATAGGCTCCCCCACATGGTCTTACATCCAAGTGTCATGGTCTCCCCCCATGGTCTTCCCTGCAAGTATCACATATATAGCTAGCATAACACCAAACATAACTAACTATCATACCACATATCTCTACAACAACAAGTATACTTCATATCACAAAATGGGTCGGCCTTGGTGCCGTAGACCCATTGGTATGGTGAGGAGACTCACCTCTCAAATGATGAACTGACAAGCTAAGACCAGGTATATCCCACACACTGCTCCAACTCAACTGCCTATAATCATCATGTGATTAACTTGTCACAATCCTGAAATACCATAATTATCCTCAAAGTCAACCCTGGTAAAAGTCTAGGTCAACAATCCATGTTGACCTCAACTCGTCGAGTTCCTCCCAAGTCCATTCCACTGAATCACGAGTCAACTCGCCGAGTCACCTAAGTGACTCGTCGAGTTCACCAAATGTCCAGAAGACCAGAAGTTCATGCAGACCAAAACTCTAATCCTTCACTGCACTCATTCAAAATTTCGAAAACGGGTAAACCCTACCCGGCTCGTCGAGTCGACTAAGGGACACGATGAGTTCCTTCAGTCCTTTTGTGTTCAGTCCTCTCCAGTGGGATCTAAGGTCCCAAACTTCAAATCCAACCTCCCCTAGTGTAGTTACCACGTAAAGTTGCAAACTTTACGTGCATGCAAGGCCTCACAAGGCTAAAACACCAAAACTAAGCTTCATACAAGGTTTTAGTGCATGTAAAGGGCCTACGTTGGATAAAGTGAGCAACTTTATGCCATTGAAGACCTAGAGATGTCCAGATCTGGAGCCATATCCTTGTGACAAGTCCAAATCCGAGTATGACACCCTTTTGGCACCAAAAGTGACCATTTACTTCAAGAAAGGAGATCTAAGCAACTAAAGATCAACATAGTGACTTTATACCTCAATATGGTCGCCAATACACGGTAGAAGTCGGATCTACTGCTTCCCTCTTTGCTCCTTCTTCGTCAAGCTCCAAAATCTTCACAATCACACCAAAATCACTCTCAAAGGCTCTATTTCTCTCTCAAAAAGGTGCAGGGCTTAAACTAGGGTTTTCTCTGGCTGTAAGAACGATGGAAGAGGCTGCAAATGAGCCATAAGTTCTTTAAATAGGGTACAAACCCCTGTTAATTAGGGTTTCTCTTTACAGCGCCTACTCGTCGAGTCGGGCCTTCCGACTCGTCGAGTAGATCTGAAGTCCCGCGTCCTCATAATAACCTCTACTCGACGAGTTGGAGCTCCCCAACTCGCCGAGTCCAAGCATAAAACCCTAAAAACTTAGATAATTTAAATGATACATGGAACAGATGTTACAAAGGGTCTGCCTCGACCATGCCATGTGGCGTTGTCTCGTGGTGCCACGTCATTGCGCGCGTCGCGCACTTCGCGCACACGATTTTTCAGATTTTCAAAATGACATATCTTCTTCATACGAGCTTCGTTTTTTACGTTCTTTATA